GCCAGTTGTTTTCCTGTGTGTCTCTGATAGTGTAGAGATTTTGACTGTCAATATAGGGCAACTAGTCTGATCATCTATGCCCCACTTCTGCTCATGTGGATTCTCCTGCTCTGTGTTAACTTTCTAAGTGCTTTTCTCAGTGAAATGTGTACTGTTTTCTTATTCATTCATCCATCAAATTGCAAAAATACCAAATTGTCAGTAGTTTTTAAAACAAACATGCAAACCATGAATTCCTGGCAGATATACAGCCTTATTTCCCCAATACTGCTTTAACCTCTGACTTCTCTCATCACCTCTTCTCCAGCTTTACTGCACTCCATCACTTTTCTTCATAAGCTGATACATGCAACTCCAGCCATCTTTCAGCTTCTCCTCACTGCATCAGTTCTTTCCTACCTACACTATGCCTCTTTGAAACTAGGCTCCAAGATGAACATTATTCTGAGAGTGCAAGTTGTTACTGAAATAAAAGTTTGACAAAAATAATACAATGCAAGTTATTGAGGATACCTGTACAACTATATCAGGCTGAGAAGCAACTCCGCTTACATCACCAAAAATCTGTACTACTGTGTACTTTCTAAGTAGGGGTTTTATAGACATTGTTCATTCGACATTGGTTTTTTTGACATTCAATTCTCAATTCAGACATTCCCTAAAATGAAGGCTCTCTCATTTGTTCATCTTGGACTCTGAGGATAGAAGCAGCAGCTAATGGGCTTAAACTGCAGCAAGGGAGGTTTAGGTTGGACATTAGGAAAAAGTTCCTAACTGTCAGGGTAGTCAAACACTGGAATAAATTGCCCAGGGAGGTTGTGGAATCCCTGTCTCTGGAGATATTTAAGAGTAGGTTAGATAAATGTCTACCAGGGATGGTCTAGACAGTATTTGGTCCTGCCATGAGGGTAGGAGACTGGACTCGATGACCTCTCGAGGTCCCTTCCAGTCCTAGTATTCTATGATTCTATGATTCAAGGTCCAGCAAACAGGATACCAGACACTTGCAAAATACATTCTCTTCCAAAGATGGAATATAGAAGTCTCTTCATCTCTTTTAGGAGTAAGACCTAATGAAGATATTGTAGATATTGTGTTTGTGGTATTTAAAGAGAGTATCATAAGATCTGAGTCATAAAATTACAATAGTGCCATATATCTTGTGAAAATGGCAGAGGAAAATGAGAAGTAGAAAGTAACAAAAACATTTAATTGGCAATGAGTATTACACTACTGAACAAGTCTTTGCCAAAAGGCAGACTTTAATACAGCTAGTTCCTTAGAATAACTGCAAAATCTTATTACTTTGATCAATGAACAGTGATGTTCCAACATCACCATATGCATGTCCTGTTTCCACAAAGCTTGTCTGCTTCTCAGTCATTCTGTGAATTTTGCTGAATATTCTAAAATACATGTTAACACCCAGTTTTCTCAATTTACATTTAGTTTCTTCAGAAATCCTTCTGCTCTTTTACTAGCTCTGGGCCATAGCCAGGAAAAAGTTTGGTATTTACCTGAGAGCTTTTTCCTTCGGGTTCTCCTGCCACCTTTATATGACTTTCTCCAAAACATTGACATTGTTCATTAAATCAAGATGGTGACATAAATTCATCCCAGCCCACAAGTTTACTGCAGATATTAAATCATGGCAACCAACTGTTGCTTCTATGGGGGCTTCTCTTCCATTGGCTATTATTCATAGTGGATTGTTTTTAAGGGAGGTCAGAGCTCTAGGTTATGACTTTAACTCCCAGAAACTAATTAGTCTAATTTAAGTGATTCTTTACGTTCACTGTTTTAGCAAAGAGAGTGTTCATTCTTAAAGTCATACTCTTTGAGTAATAAAAGAATGCCCAGATAACTTAAAATTGAACTATGGATGCCAAATGAAAGCTTTGAGCATTGGTGTTTCCACTGCCCTATTTGTGCTTTTGAAAGCTTAACATGTACTTTCTGAACCAGCATAACTGAAGAAGTGGACTGTGCCCACAAAAGCTCATTATATCATCTACATGTTTTGTTAATGTTTAAAGTGCTACTAGACTATTATTTGTTTTTTTAAGTTTAATCAGGGAAGTTTGACTTTGTGAACCCCCTTTGGCAGTTCAGATATTGGAGAGATAAAAGGATGTTTGTCCCACAATAGCAGCAAAAGATACAGTTCTTTTAATAATGTTAACATCCAATTTGGGACTGAAAGCATTTCTACCTTTATGAAAAATGAAGAGTTTGTTTATTTATAAACATGAGCATCAGCCAGTTTTCCTTCAGATTTCTGGCAGGTAATGGGAAAGCACCAGCATATCATTATCTGAATTTGATTAAATAGATGTAGAGCTGCATGTTATCAGCCTACTGATAACACCACAGTCCAAACAGGTTTATTGGCTGTCCGTAAGCCTTACGTATATACTAAGACCAGTGGGATGATAAATCTAATCCATTTTTTCCATTGTCTAAAAAGGTTCTCTCTTGTCTTGCCCTCCTATAGGGATTAAAGAACATGAGTCCTCCCTTTTTCCTTACCAAAGTTATGGCATCAATTCAGAATCCTTTCAGCTACTTTAGCAGCCATTAAACATGTGTGGGAACTCAACGGGAAGAATGCAAATGCGTCATACCATCTCTCTTCTTCCCCTCTTTACTCTCCTAAAATAAACATCAGACAACAAATATGTTCCAAAAGATCCCCACATTGAACTTGGAAGCCTCAAGTAGATCAAATAAAATACCACAGTGCACATCAAACCCAAACAATATCCCTAACACACACATCTCCAATTTCTGTAGCGTAGGGGTATGCCTACACAGCAGCGTTATTTTGGAATAATGGACGTTATTCCAAAATAACATTATGTGCTGTCTACACAAGAAGCCCGTTATTTAGAAATACATTCAAAATAACAGGCTTCTTACTCCAACTTCCTGTCAACTTCGTTGTACAAGGATTAAGAAAGTCAGCAGAATATTGGTTTATTTTGAAATGTGTAGACAGTGACAAATTTTGAAATAAGCTATTTCAAAATAAGCTACACAATTTGCATAGCTTAAATTGTGTAGCTTATTTTGAGGTATGCACTACTGTGTGACGTACCCTAAGTGTCTCATCCCAGTCAGATAGTGAATCTGAATCTCATTTTCCTTTGTCAAGTAGAATAGGTCATGTTGGGAATTGACAAACAATGTGAAGAGAGATTCCCAGAAACATAATCTTATCCTTTAAAGCATCCCAGTTACCTTTTTAAAAATAGTCACTCTATATATCCTTTTCTCTTCCCTGCAATTAACCTTCCTATACACAAAAATAAACTTTCTCTGCCACTTTCTCTTCCAGATATCCAGTGCCTCATAATTCTCTCAGCTTACCACCAGACTTCTATGTTCAGGTCTGAGATGATGAGTGGAATATTTACAGCGCATTTAAAGATCAACTACAATTTTTGTAACAGTTTTCTCTCAGCTTATCAATATGCTACAGTCTGATAGCCAGACTGGGAAGGGCATTTGGAACATTTGTTACATTAGTATTCTCATCAGCCCTTTGGAGGCTAGCTATGGTGGGAGCATTCAGCATATTACCAAAGTTGAAGACACTTCATAAAATTATTTCCATGTCAGCTAGGTGTCCATAGTTACTCTAATTTCTTACAAACATCTTGGTAACTAGCAAGAATGGACAAATAGAAATGTCTTCATATATAAAGTTATCCACCTTTTCTTGTTCAGTTTCTTCTACAATATTGATCTGTAGTCACTACACTCTCTTCTGGGGTAATACCCTGGTGTGCTACCAGTGAGCAGGGAGATCACCAGAGAAACTGAGCTGAAAGCAGCTCACTTAAAAACCTACTTATCTCATATGACTTTATAAGATGATATGAGGATGCTAAGAAACTGAAGCTTGAATAAGTGTGCTGAGGTCTAAAACCCAGCGCAAAGTAAGTGTGTCTTTTTTTCAGAAGGTCAGAGCCCATAGGGACATCATAAATTGGGGCCAAGATTTTCAGGAATGAACAATGACATGAGAGCTTCAGTTCTGGGGTTTCTGGCTTACAATGCTTTGAAAGCATCTAATTTTCATAATATGCTGAGCACGCACTCTGAAAAATCAGGCCTCTTCTAGGTATCTCAGCTTGGACAACCAAAAATAGAGTACTAAAACACTAGCAACTTTTAAAAATCTTGTCCTGGACTGTTAGATAAAGCTACCAAGACCTCTAAGTATTTTGCCACATATAAGAACAACTCCTACAAAACTGATACATAAAAATGTTATTTATTATTACGAAAGTCAAGCATAATGCTATCAGTTTAATTCTCCCACGATGATTCGGACTCAGGAATAAAGCACTGTATTTAAAAAAAAATGCTCCAGACTTAATCAAGGATATGGCAGAATCTGCTTAAGAGAAACCAATAATTGAATCAGATCTAATTAACTCATCACCTCAGGAAAAAAGAATAGGATGGTGGTAACACTACTGAAATGGATGAATGTTTTGATGGAGGAGGAAAGGAATGAACAAAAGAGAAGAGATAATACAATGTTTACATATTCTTAAATGTGTGCACTATGATCAGTCTGCAGTTCCAGAAACATTCCAGACTGTTTACATGTTAATACTCAATGTATGATATAAGTCTAAGAAATGTTTTGTCCTGCATGTGCTTTAGGCTATTTACAGAGTGCAGAGATCTCTTTCACTGTCATCGATGCTGACCTAATTCAGACTTATAAGCATTATATTCTTTAAATGGAAAAACTCGTTGAGATGTAGTAAGCAGAAAACAAAATAATCCTCAGATAGGTCAACACAAAAAAAAATATATCAACTGCTATATATTGAATGAAATGACTGCATAAGCCAAAAGGAGGGTTATTTTCCATTGTAAATAAATCTTATAGGCATTCATAACAGATCTTGCTTGACTTGAGCTTACTGTTTTACTTTGTGCTAGATGTCTAATATACAATAATTGCACTTTGTTTCATGCAGTTCCCTGCCAGACTGTTTTAGATTATTTGAAGACTGTACTTCAGCATCACAACCAACTTATGGTACCACAGCCAACAGACCATCCAGCAGAGGTAGTATATGATGAACATAAGCCTTATATACTTACATTTGAAATTTAATTAAAAAAGAAATGTATAGGTCAATAAATCAGTAGATACGGGAAGATTATATTTACTAGTAAAATAGATAAAATCTAACATTAAACTGTCATTTCCCATATGCCACAAGTGATTGGATTTACATAATACTAAGAATAATGGAGTAGTGCCACTACAGGCTGGACCTCCCTGGCCCACAGGACCTGACCAGTCCTGAAAGAGGGAGGTCAGTTCTGTTCCTCCATTGACAGACTCCAGGCTTTCCCACGGTCCATCAGCTGAGGGCTCCCCTTCTCCCACCACAAAGCTCCAGCGGGGCTCCACAGCCCCAGGACTGCCAGGGTTCCACAGCACTAGGTTGGTAGGGTGGCTGCTGCTGCCTCTGCTGACCAGTGCCCTCTGGTCCAACAACAGGCATGGTCTGATGTTGTCAGAACAGAGAGTCCGGGAGAAGATCCAAAATTGTTCCATCCAGTGATGTTCACTCCTCTTCCCCATACACACTATACATGTAATGGTTTGGTTTTTCTGATCTTTCCTCAGGCAGAGACAGATATTATAGTCAGATTTTAGATGTTTGAAATTGCAAGGTGGTTATAAGACTTCCTTTAGATCTCAAACAATCCTACATTACAGACTTTGCTCTCTAGCATTTCTAATGGATTCAAAACACAGTGATGGACATTATCAAAAAATGCTTGTCTCTGAGTTTGAGGTATGGGGGATAGTTCAAAGCAAGTGTTTTGTTACTGAAAAGTACTGCATTGAAAGCTTTGGCTACTAAGACCTCCACTTAGTCAAAGAATAAGTTTGTCTTATGTATCCACTCTAGAGCAGTTTTTCCTGATATTGCCCTATCAACATGTTTCAACTCAGAACTAGAAAGAATATGCTTGGAGAGGGGTAATAAGCCTTTTTAAAATGTCCAGAACTGAAGTTGACACCTTTCTTCCTATAAATATTTTCAAATACTTCCACCCTACTGTCTACCACCCACACAACTTAGAGGGAAGTTATTCTGAACTTCTGCCATCCAGACTTTTTCTCCTCTATACATGAAAGATACACTGCAAGAAGTGCACACTGCTCAGCTGGTCCAAACTGCTATAGCTCCTCTGAAGTCAGTCTGCATCATCTGAGAATCTGCCCCCAAGTGTGTGTGCCCCCACTTTGCTTCTCACTATATTTTATGCCAAGTGGTTTCATTTTATTGAAAGCTGCATTTATCGGCAATCGTTCACAGTAAAAATTCCAAGCTTTCCTTTTCCTTCTCTCCTTTTTTTGCTTAACTGAAGTTTTGAAGCCATTGTAAAAACTAAATGTTTTGTAACTGTCTATTGTGGACAGCTTGTTATAATGCGAGAGGATTTTGATTGAATTAAAACTTACAAAAAGTTTAAAAGTTTAATCATGTACAGATATAAACATGAATTCATTTGTACTTTGAGTCATTCCTCCAGTATACACTTGTTATATTTCTTGAGAGTGGATTTCTTTTTAGATTGGTTGTTCTTAACTACTGTCAGATGCAGAAAATGCATCTTACATTTATCAACAGTAATTAAAAAAATAATGATTAATAATGTTCTTCATAATACAATACCATTTATTTAAATATTTGGCAATTATTTACATTTTCAAATATCTTAATTTCTATTACAATATAGAATACAACATGTTCAGTGCTCACTTTATTTTTGTTTACAAATATTTGCAATGTAAAAATACCTAAAGAAATATTTGTCATTTCCCCCATTACAAGTACACTAGTTCAATCTCTTTATCATTGAAGTTGATTTTACAAATGTAGAATTATGTAAAAAATCATTCAGTAATAAAACACTGTAAAACTTTAGAGCTTACATTAATTTTTAATGCATTAATTTTTAATGTTTTTGGCAAGGAAGCATGTCTTCTGGAGTGTTGCCAAAGAATGAAAAGGCATACAAATGCTTAGCATATCTGCCAGTAAACACGTTGGAATGTCAACTATAAAAGTGCCATGAAATACTTGTTCTCACGTTCAGGTGACATTGTAATTAAGAAGCAGGAACATTATCTCCCATATATATAAAGAAATTTGTTCATCTAAGCAATTGATTGAACAAGAAGTAAGACTGAGTGGATTTATAGGCTATAAAGTTTTATATAGTTTTGTTTTAGAGTACAGTTATGTAACAAATCTACAATTTAAGTTGTACTTTCACGATAAAGCGATGGCATTACGGTATTGTATGAGATGACTAGAAAAATACTCACTTTTGTTTGTTTTTTTACCATGCAAATATTTGTAATAAAAACAATATTAAGTGAGCACTGTACAGTTTGTATTCTGTGCTGTACTTGAAGCCAATATATTTGAAAATGTAGAAAAAATCCAATATTTAATATATTTCAGTTGGGATCCTAGTGTTTATCACAATTTTTTTTATTCACAATTAATTTTTTTTTACTTAATCACTTGAATTAACTACAGTTAATCAACAGCTCTAATCAAGAGCCTTTTGCCCCAAGTGTTTTAAATACATAGGAATTGATGTACCTATGTCTGAATTAGAATATAGCCATTGTTTAACAGAGCACCTCAATATTACAGCCCCCTTTCACAGATATTGAAGAAAAATACACTAAAACACTGAAATTTCAGTGGGGGGATATGGGTAGGTATAGCTGGAATTAAGTTCAATTCAGTTGCTCAAAGTGTCATGAGCTCTTAGATGACCACATGCAATCAGAGATTTTTACACTGCAGTTAAAGACTGCACTTCCATCAGCACAATGATTTCCACTCCCTGCTAACTTTTTAGGATAACTTGTGTGTGCCTAATGAGTCCCCAATTCAGCAAAGTGCTTAATCCATACTGAAGGTGGCAGGATCACATCCAAATACTAACCATGCCAGATTTTTCTTTACTTGAGAGTGATGACAAGATGATAGTCCTAATTGGTGCTACTTGGTGTCAAAGGTCATTCTTGGAGTTTGTATGTTATGCTAGTACAAACACCCAGTATTGGTTTGTTTTCCTCCCAGCTTAATCAGAATTTGTATATATCTAATAGTTTAACAATTAAATGCCAATAGCCTAGAAACAGAGGATAACAAGCTTTATACATACAGGATTATGAGCAAGTTACTGATCAAAACTGAGGGTCACATATTCCCGTGGTCACTCAGTGGTGGAACTGGCCCATAGAGGATCACCTCAGAGTAAGGGTGATCTGGTTATACAGAACCAGCACAGGGGCTCAGTCCATTCCTCCTCCCTACTGCCAGCAGGGAGTCTCTGGGCCTGGTCTACCCCATCACAGGTACCATTAGGATGAATAAAGTGCCAAGGTTAGTTTCCAATTACCTTTGCACACTGAATCCAACCTTTGATTTTTGCAGATTAGCCATATACTATGACCCCACTGAGCTTTTGCTGAATTTCACAGATTTACTACGCTTATAAAAAATCAAAAGTAATGGGTGTCTGATGCACAAATCCCAAAGTCATCTCCCAATAGGCTTTATAAACATGTGGGTGATGCTGGGGCGAGAGGAAAGAATTTTATACTGTATTTTAAAAAATTCACATTGTGCACTACATGTTAGTGAATAAATAGTTACATTAGGAGAGAGGGACCACAAGTAACACAGTAGAGTGCCCCAGATGCCACTAATTCAAAAGAGTAGCATTTCACTTAACACATTTTCTTATTGAACTCCCATTGAAAGTATTTAATGTAATAGTGCTTTTACAAAGGAGGCCTAATTTGGTGAAACAGTGCTAGATTTATAAGTTGCAATAAATGTATGCAGCTGTAAAAGTGAACGAGTCTCTAGGAAACTGTTTTTTAAATACCTTAATTACCTCTGAACGAGTCTATTAAAACTGAGATCTTGGGTTAATTAATTTGTCCTATGCTGTAGAATTTTACAGGCAACAAGAATTAAAGTAAATTTGTTTAGGTGCAGTCGACCAAAGTTGGCTTATACATGTTGTATGGGTTACAGAAATTAACATAATTAGTCCCTCTGCATCTATTTAGTATTGGAATTTTAAAGTACATATAAATTATGAAGGCTAAAAGTAAGATATGTTTCCATTTGACATAGTGGCATTCGTATAAAGCTATAATTTGAATTAATGTGGCATTCATTAATAATAATGAAGCTTTTAGGTTTTTTACAGTTCGGCTTTATTTTCTTTATATTTTTTCACAGTAACACAACTGCTGTCAGGTTTTAGGTGTGTTCAACAAAAAGTAATACATTTATTATAAAAATAGACTGTAAAAAGTCACTTCTGAAGTAGTGAACTGCCAGCTGCCTTAAAGAGACCCGTTTGATCACACTCTTCAAAGACATTTTTGCACATTTGAATAGATTAAGAAGGAAAGGTTATATTTAAATGTATCCCCAATCATTGGATCTCTGCAGTTTTTAGCTTACCTGTTAAAGTTCAAGATATAAATAACCACACACTGAAAAAGCATTCCTCAGACCTCACTGGGTCTTGTTATAGAAAATGCAAATGGAATTTTAAAAGTCCCCATTTTCATTATGAGTAATTATTCACTTCTGTAGGAAGTTCATTGTCAGCATCTCAGCTAGTTGAAAGCATTTTTCTTTGCAACTAACATTATCTTTACTTATCTGCCTTGTAAAATAAATAATAGAAATATTTAATTTTTCCAGGGAAGCAAACAGTTGCTGAACAACTATCCTGTCTACATCACTAGTAAACAGTGGGATGAGGCTGTTAATTCTTCAAAGAAAGATGGAAGGCGGCTACTTCGATATCTCATCAGATTTGTTTTCACAACCGATGAGCTTAAGTACTCATGCGGCCTTGGGAAAAGGAAAAGGTCAGTGCAGTCAGGAGAGACAGGTCCTGAAAGACGTCCTCTGGATCCAGTAAAAGTAACATGTCTCAGAGGTACTGCATCTTTTCGCTCAGTGTCCACCATATGTGATCTCATTTCACCACATTGGCTCTGGCTCAGTATAAGCTTTCAGCTTACTGCAGCATAAATAGAGAGGTTTCTAAGACAGATGACAAAAGTAGTTAGACATATGGAAAAACTTCCATTTAAGGGGAAATTGAGGAGACTGGAATTGTTTAATTTAGAGAGGGGTCAAATAAGAGGCTTCATCATAAGATGGTGTAGAGAAGGTAAAGCAAATAATCCTATTTATCCTCTTATACTGTAAGAATAGGGAAACATTCACAATTCATAATTAACCAGGGAACTGAATGCCTCAATATACCATTTAAGCCAGGAGCTTATTAGCCTTCAAAACAGGACTGGAAACTTCCTCTTGTGAAGGGGTATTTCATAATTGTTCACTACAGGGTTTCTTGCAAACACACTGAACAAGCTGAACTGGCAATTCCTATTTTGATTTTCTGAGATTTTAAGGCTCGTTGTCAGTCTTTATAATGGGCCACATAAAACATTTTAACTAGCTTGGTTTGAAGAACCCTTGGAATTAGTCTTGGTGTCTCCACAAATATAGTATCTATTTCATTCTTTTAATAGAACCCATCTTTCATAGCACTACATGTGCAAAAATCATTCAGAAGCAACTGACAACACAAAACCTATAAAGTTCTTACTAAGCAATGAAAAAAATAAAATAAAAGGGAAACACCAGAAGCAGAAATGGTTACATTTGAGACTGAACTTCTATCCATTTAGAGAAGTAATTAACATTGCCTGGCAGAGCAGACTTTTAATTGTGATATACTTACATAATTGCATAACTTATTTAAAGCATTACTTTGCATAAACTCAGACTAAGGCACAGTGTTTTCTGCTACACAAAAGATTCACCAGATGTTAAGCAACATAAAATGAATTATCAGAGCTTAAAGGAAGTGGGGACAATGCATTTCAGTGCAAGAGCACGCTGCACTTAGGGTGTCAAGTTCCCTGGAAGCTAAGGACTTAAAAGTTGAAAAGAAGTGCATCAGGCTTTAATAAGATTTCTTAAATTTCAATTGGTAAATTATACATGAGCAGAAATGTAATACCAACTCTACCATCACTATACACTTCCTTAATTGCTAAGTCAGGTTTTGAACAGAGATAGGACCAGGGAGATAAGGCATTGGTGGTGCCACCTTCATATCTGCTGGCTTTAAAGGTTCTCATGTATACTTAAAGGCCAATGGGCAAGACCAAATTCTGGAACATAATTTGTTTTGAGGCACTAGACATGTAAAATAGATGTGTGTATCCATTAGTGCTCTATGGAAAAATGGCAATTCCATAAATAATTTAGAATCTTGCACAGGAAGTCAAAATGTCTGGGGTCTATTGTGCCTGTTAGATCTCTCCAGAGCAGTTTATAAATTAGTATGTCTTGAGTTGGCCTGGCAATGCAACAGTCAGCAATGCTTGGGATCCAAATGAGCCTCTCTAGCCCCTACCCATTTAAAAGCAAGGTAATGTATGTGTGTAAGGAGTGATCCTTGTCATTGCCCAGTGTTGGACTGAACCCTGGGGTAATGGCAGGAAGTAAGAACTACTTGATTTCAGAGAGCCATTTCTAACCAGCTTTACTGCCAGCACAATGGAGGACCTGTGAGTGCTAAGGAGAGTGCTTGATGAATTGGAGAGTTCTCCAGAACCATCTTTAAGTTTTTTAAAAAAAGTCCAGCATGCCTAAACTGTAGCACTGTTTCTACACATAGTAACCATTATCTTGATCAACATCCCAGTTTATGAAGCTGCATGCAAGGATAATTAAACAGCAAAGGACAGTATTGGTTGCACAGATTTATAGGAAGCAGAATGTAAAACAGAAATATGTTCCACTTTTGAAGGCATGTTACTGGAGTAGCTATGCCAAAAATCGTATGTCCCTATTTTCTAAAATATCAGATAGCTTGCAATTCATGATAACAGCATTCCCTGGCTGAAATCTGCAGATGTTAAAGTAGGCAGCAGAGGAAGATCATAAAGACCCATGAATGTAAGCACAAATACATTAAAAGTGTGTATGGATTACAGGCTTCAAATAAAATACATTTCCGATTTCATACCAACCTTTACATGCATTGCACACTATCATAAAAAATTCTCTTAATGTATTGGGGGGAGGGAGGGTTCAGCAAAGAGAAATTTCTCTGTAGCTGCACACACATTACTTATAGTGAAATAAGTGTGCCTAGAAATAAAATGGGTTCAATTGGCATTATCATGACATTTCCCATAAGATTTTATTCCTGTTTAAATAGTCACTCTAATGCTCTACTTATTACTTGCAGTGAACTCTTGCTAGTTGGGCAGTAACACTGTGTGCTACAAAAATAAGCTGTTTCGTATCACTGTCTGTTTTCTACAGAGTTCATTAGGATGCATTGTACTTCCAACCCTGATTGGTGGATGCCATCTGAAGAACAAATAAACAAGGTTTTCAGTGATGCAGTAGGACATGCTCGTCAAGGACGTGCAGTGGGGACTTTTCTTCACAATGGTAACTCATATTATGAGGGAATTGACCATCAGGGTTCACAAGAAGAAATCTTCAACAGAACTGTCCAAGAGGGATCTGTAGATTGATCTCAGTGGAGGGAATCTATACTAGAAAAAGAGCCCGTTAATTAGAAGATACTTTACTAGAAATACTTTCCTTGAAATCATTTAAGAATCCAAAGCATGTTTGAAGTCACACTGCAAACATTCCAGCTTTCCCATCCTGTCTCAGTGCTCCAGTCAACAGAGAATGATTCATTTCAAGGCCCATCTATGGGATCTCTTGGTGCCTATAAACTGCAAGCCTTTCATAGATTCTTGAAAGGAAAACTGCAATTTCAATTCATCTAATTCTAAAGAATTTTTTTTAAAGTCTCAAATTTCTAAATAAAGAAAAAGTTACTGTATTGTCTGCTGGCTGACATTGGGCCCAATTCTGAATTACTAGGCAGAACTGAACTCTGGCAGAATTCCTCATTACTATGTGTTATGCCTGAGTAAAGGGGTTTAGGATCAAACCCAGAGACTTTTGACAAAGGAAGTAGTCTTCTATTTTTACTATAAAGTAGTATAGAAAAATTATAAAAGTTATCTTAAAATGTGGAAATTTCCATCTCAGGTTATGTACTGAAGCTCTGAATAATATTTCCTCTGTCTAGCAATACCGGGATATTAAATGTCCCTGCTAAAACAAGAGTATTCATTGGCAACAGAATCCTTCAATTAGGAAATATCAAAACAGTAACAGGCATTTCTACACCAATAAAAATTTCTCTGTGTAATTGGTAGATACTATATTTATCTAAAATATTTAGGTAATCACTGCAGTTTTCCTAAAAATGAGATTGCTATACCATGAATTGGCATTTCAGGAGCCAGTCTCTTTATTTTGCAGCAGTATTTTATAGCTTTAAGGGTACATTTGCTTGTGCTATTGTTTGTGTTTTTTTCTCATTGCCTGATCTGTTTCATGGCAGGTGCTGGTCCTAATGCTCAGATACTCAATGGTGCATAGAGGTAGGGATTCTGTAATAAAAGTCCAATTTATCCTTTTGGCTATTGGGCACTAAAGCACAGGTCCCGGACTGATCGAGAATTGTAAGCAAATATTTGTGATAGAAATGAAGCTGATTCACAATGGAATACAATATTGGAAGCAGATATCAAGGTAAAAATCTCAATTTACTGGAGATTTTCAGTATCAGATTTATGGTGCATCGTCACAATGGGACAGCTTTGAATAACTGATGCAATCTAGAAACATTTAACACCAAAGAACCAACACCCTCCCCCCTCATTTTTAGCCTTTTTCCGGTCCTCCTGCTTTAGGCGAGTCAGTCTTTCTCCATCACTACTGGATTCTTGAATCAGCTTTTTTTTCTGGAGATCATATTACCTGTTTAGACATATTGAACTCTTTCTGTGTGGGTGCATCTTCTCTATCTTTGATCGCCTTTACCTCTACCTCATCTTTGCCTGTTTTCCTAAGTATTTTCTACCCCATCCCTAACCAGGGGGCATGGACCTAAAGAGCATCTACTAACTAATCTCTTCACTTCTGCCCGCTATATGGGTGACTACTGGATGGGGAAACCTAGACACAACAGTCTCCATAACAGCCATGAAGGGTGCCTCTGAACCAAGGTGCTCCTATAACTCCTACTGAATTGAGGATGAAGTACAGAGGCACCCTCCCATATACTAATTCCCCATGCAATAACTTCCTCATCTGTCTCCTGTTTGTCTGCCATTGTGAATGGTTTCTGCTGTATGTAGTGCCCTCCCCACTCCAGTCAAGTCAGTGAGACGAAGCACATCATCAGCACAGTGCATCCATTGAGCAAGATGGATTTTCCTTGCGTCAATTAACAGGCTGTACCTGGATGGTTTTTCAGGAAACAGTCTGCTGTACGTACCTTTGTAGACACAGTCTAATACAATGTAGGCTTGCAGCCCCTCAACTTCCAATACCTCTTAATTTTATTTTTTTCTAATGTTTATAAGGGGATTTTTAAATCTTCATTTAACTTAGAATAACAAATTTAATTTCTAAAAAGTAAGTAGTAGTTTAATTACATTGGATGAGACCATGCCATCAGTTTTCAAACAGAATCCCTTACTGTGGTCAAGAGGAGGTTCTGCTCATAGATCAATGGCACAAGATGGTCCTGTTTGGAAGAAGCTCAGCATGTGTCTGTCCATCCACTGGACACACATTCTGCTATAGTAGAAGATAGTGGTCAGGCAGTGCAAGTCCTGCAGGAAAGTCTTATTGTGATGACCCTGGCCAGAACTTGGTAAAACATGTCAGCATTATACTATACGTGAGTATTTACAACCTGAGTCAGCATACTGTAAAAACAATATATGTATCATGTATTTTTGTAAACATTGTGATGGTTTATTTCAAATGCTTAATTGTATAAAATTAAAAGTGAAAACATTTCACTTTGAATAACAGAAAAAATATATCACTTCATTACCAGGTTTCTCTCAAATAATATTGTAGGAATTTTGTAACCAGGAAGCCTAGTTTTATTTTTGGTGTAAACAAAAGAGTAGTCAGGCTTCTGCCCTAAAATGCTGGTCTGACTTCACAATACTGCCCTTTCCTATTGTGCAAACTAACCAAATGTGTGGCCTGATCTATGTGTGTATGTAAAGACTGTTTCTCTTTGTACATGCGTTTTCAGAATCAAACCTATATATGCCAAAATTCTGTCTTCAATTGCATGAGTGCACTTAGCACTGAAGCAAACTGGAGTCACAGATGAGCAGAGGCCAGAATTTAGAAGTGTTTGCTTTCTCTCTATATAAAAAAAATATATATCCTGCGGGATGACAGAGTGATGTCACCAGCATTGCCCCACCCCTCAGCTCCAGGTAGTTCATCTGGTCCTTACATTGCTCTCCTACAAGAGGGGGTCATCTTAGGCTGCCGTCATCAGCCTCTGCCCCCGCCCTCTGGCCCAGCCACCTTCCACACTAACCAGCCTCTTCCCCCACAACCTGCAGACTCTTCATGCCATGCTACCATTGCAGCTGGTCAGAACAAGCCCAGAACATGCACCCCTGCCTTTCCCACTAACCAGCCTGTTCCCCCACAGCCCTACTGGCTGCAGCCCCTCGTCATGCCACTCCCAACCCCCTTACTCTCACACCCCCCAGCCCAGACCCACACCCTACCCCCCTCACTCACTACCCAGATGAGACCATGCACCTCTAACCCCCTCACACACCATAGTACTACCACCACACACACCCCGGAAGGTTAAAGCGCCAGCACTGGCTTCCTGCAGGGGATGAGGAGGAGAAAGCCCCAAGGCTCTGCACTTGCTGCTGCTTTCCTTCCCCTTTTCCCCTTCCCCGGCTGGGGGAGCAGCAGTGCAGAGACACGCTTCAAGGAGGCTTTTCCCACTGCTGTTCGCCCAGCCAGCGGTTGGGAAAGAAGCAGCACCATCGGGGGAGCCTTGCAGCCGTCTCTATCCCCCTACAAGAAGCCAGCATTGGGGCTTCAACCTCAGGAGAGGGGGTGAGGCTGGAGCACCAGTGCAGGCTGGGGGGTGGGGTCCCCCTCCCTCATCACCCTGCTGAGACTCTGCATCCCCAAACCCCCCACCCCACACACACACATCCTCTCCGCCAAGACCCCACGCCCCACCCTCTCACGCATACCCTCTGCTGAGACCCTGCACCCCCAGCCCTCTCTGTCACTAAGACCCTGCAGCCCCAGCCTGCTCCTGCCTCCTCCCCTCCTACTCCTAAGAGAGAGGGGGGTTGGCGAGTGTAGCGAGCAGGGGGCGTGGCCCCCAAGTATTTTTTTTAAAGTTTCAGATTACAAAATCTGTCCTGGGTTTAATGATGTGAACTATGGTCCCTTTGGCTCTTGACCAAATTCACTTCATTTATAACCTTTCACAGCTATTTATTCTAACTAGTCCAAGGCATATATTTTCATTGCATTATAAATCCATGTGCATTACTGAGAACACATCTACAGGAAACTAGGAATAATTTCTAGGGAACATTAGGGACCAGAAATAACAGACAACATATAAGCCATTGCACAACTAGATATCCATGTTAAAGCTCTGTGTTTTGTAAAGTATTGTGTTAATTTATGGTGCTATATGTTCATGGAAAATTTGAAACAGAAGGAAGTAATTTTCACCTCACTCAGAAAAGAGTCCTAACATCCTTCTGGAAGATAGATCCTTGTCTTACAAATTCTTTACTCTTGCTGTCCTTTATGTATCTACTTTCTCTAAAACTGTGTGTAGCAGTACTGCATACCCATTAGTGCCAATCTGCCTTTGCTCTATTTTCTATGACAAATAATTGTGGAGAAACTGTGATTAAAAACCCATTAATCCTAATATTTTTATTGTTAAGGTGTAGTTAATTCTATGAATACTTTCTATTGATGACTGTACTGTGTAGAGTAAATACAAGTTAGGGATAGCCTAATACCAGATACTGTACAACAGAGTGCATAGTGTAATATAGACTAGTTAGTTTTTTGTGACAATTTCTATAGGATGTGTGAATTGTTTTCTATGTGGCGACACACATTTCTTTTAAAAATTTAAAACTGTTAGACGGTTTTTAAAGTCAATATTTTTTAATTATAAAAAACATTTGTTACTAGAGTTAACTATTTCAGGTGTTATCCCTAATTTGAATATTGGTTTTATTATTACGTACCTCCAGTTCCATTTGTTCTGTTGCATAACAATGCACAATAAAAGTTAGTCTCTGATTAATGGTTTGTCCAGTTTTCTAAACATGTCATTGTGTCAAAACAACTGTATTCACGGTTTGGTCTAAATATCGCTATATATTTAAAAAAAAAAAAACTTTTCCTTCGGGGTCACAGAGTAACATCACTCTACATCACCCCACCCCCAATCTCAACAGAGTCCCCAGAGGGGAAAGAGGTCTGCCATGGCTCAGGGTTCTCCTCTGTCTCCCCACACCACCACCTCTGGGAGCACACCTTGGCTACGTCTACACTGGAAAGATCTTGTGCAAAAACTCTTCCAGAAGAGAGCATCTAGACTGGCATGTGCTTTTGCGCAAGGGCATCTGTGCCAGTGTAGATGCTCTCTTGCACAAGAAAGCTCTAATGGCCATTTTAACCATAGGGCTTTCTTGCGCAAGAAATTCATGTTGCCTGTCTACACTGGCCACGTGCGCAGGGCTCATTCCTGAGTGGGAGCATCATAGTTCTTGCGCAAGAAGCACTGATTTCATACATTAGAACGTCAGTGTTCTTGCGCAAGAACTCGCAGCCAGTGTAGACAGGCAGCAAGTTTTTGCACAAAAGCGGTCACTTTTGCGCAAGATCGTGCCAGTGTAGACACAGCTCCAGGGCCCCCTACTGGCCCCAAGCTTCCCTACAAGAGGCCAGGGGGTGGCAGCAGCTGCTTCTCACTGTGCTGAGGGCCCTGTAGCTCCAGGACCCAAGGGAGGAGGCAAGGCAAGGAGGTTGTGAGTGTGGGGTATATCTACACTGCAGTCTTCTTTCGAGAGAAGAATGCAAAGTAGGCATACCGGAGTTACAAATGAAGCCGGGATTTAAATATATCTCACTGCATTTGCATAATCGCGTTATGGTGCGTTAGGGCATGGGGGGGTCCAGCGGCAGCTGGTAGTCCCCCCAAAAGTATCGCTGCAAGCTACTATACCTGGCCCATGACATCCCGTTCTGGGGATACCAGTGGATCCGGTGCATGTAGCTGAGGCTGCTCCAAAATTTCTACTGGCCAGGGATATTTGCAGCCATGCAGCAGTATTGCCCGTCTTGCGACTCCTGCCAGAGGGTGGAGAAGGCCTAAGATGGGAGGAAAGCTGCTTGGGGGCTCCTACCCTGTATAGAGGAACGGTTCCACAAGGAAGCATTAGAGATAGTGGGGCCTGTCGGCCAGGTGACCCAGACGGGGAACAACTATATCCTGGTAGCTGTGGATACAGCTACCAACTGCCCTGAGGCTGTGGCTCTGCCCTCTTATCAAGGCAGACCCGGTGGCAGACACACTACTGGCCATTTTCAGCAGGGTGGGGTTCCCCCAGGAGGTCCCCACAGACCAGGGGTCCAGCTTCATGTCAGCCCTGCTCTGGTGCTTGTGGGAGAAGCACAGGGCCTGGCTCACCTGGGCCCCAGCGTATGGCGCCCAGCCCAGTGGGCTAGTGAGGAAGTTCCAGGGGACCCTGAAGCAGATGTTGGAGGCCTTTGTGCACCAGCACCCGCAGGACTGGGACGAGTACCTGCCCCACCTGCTGTCTGCACACAGGGAAGCACCCCAAGGGGCTGCCAGGCTCTCCTGGACCAAGCCGGGGTGCAGAGAGGGAAAGTACCCCCTGGGCTTGCTGAGAGAGTTATAGGAGAGGGAGACCTCCATGGATGGAGAGTTGGGGGTGGAGGACGTCCTGGCTTTCTGGGGAAGGCTCGCTGAGCTCATGGCCCCAGCCAGAGCTCAAGGGCAGTGGAAGGGCTGGTATGTGCCGGTTCTCCCCGGAGCTGTGCAGCAACCGGACAGGGGGGAGCTGGCCCCTGCAGGGCATTGCCGCGGCCAGCCCGAGCCAAGGGGAGCACCAGAGTCTCCGTGGCAGCTTTGCTGGGCAGGGGACCCGAACTTTCCTAGGCCACAAGCAAAGTGACCCTGCTCAGTTCACTCTTGGAGGGGGGACAGTTGTGGGGTAGTAGGGGTGCCTTGCTGGTGGCTAGGCTTGGGCAGTGGGCTGTGGGTGACCTCCACTGGTGGCTATTCGTAGCACAGCCCAGCAGGACAGCGGATGAGTCACTAGGCAAGGGTCTCCCAACCTGTCCGACAGGTTGCCTCCCAGGGAGAGACACAAAGGGAGGAAGGCAGGGTCCAACCCTACCTGCAGGCAGGGCTGGAAGAGAGTTAGTTTTGGTCTGGGAAGCAGCACCTCAGGAAGGACCAAACTTGAACAGCTACCTTCAGATTTGAATGTTGAAACACAGGCTTTAGGTTTAGATTGAAACAAACTTGGAGCTTTTTTACAGGTACTTTATTCAGGAAGAGAGAGAAATGGTAACTGTTGTATCAAACAGGGAGAAACTTAAAGTTGTAAGTTTCAGAACTTGTCCTAGCCCACTTCCCATCTTTACCACCAGGCTGGGAAAATATCTGAGCACATAAACAGTACAGCCAGAACCTCACCCCTATCACCATGATTATACTTTGCATTGTATTGACAGTGTACTCAGCCTCAGTGACAAACTTTTCAAGAGATAAATTAGGTGGGGGAATATACTTTATTGGGTCAACTTCTGTTCATGGAAGGCACAAACTTTGGAATTTCAGTTGCTCTTCAAGTCTGAGATGGTAACCAGAGTGACTGCACTACCAACTAACTGGGACAGAGTGTCAAGCAGAAGGGGTGACATGCTGCAGGCAACCATTTAAAATTAAATGGGCAATCCAGGATTAGATTGTTCAGCATAACACATTTGCATGCTTTAGGAAATGGAAGAAGTTGGCAACCAAGAGCTATCAGGTAATATGGGGAGGGGGATACAAAATGCTAAAATGATCCTTACAACCTGTGTGTCTGCTCAATCCATGTTTTACTGTGTTTAGCAGAGCTATAAATTTAAGTTCTCAGGAGCACCAGAGAAAAAATTCCAGATGCCTTCTCTAGATGCTACTCTCACTTCTCAATCTGTTGCCTAATTGAAAATCAAAGATTAACCAGTCCATTGGTGCAACCTCTGATGACTACTCCTTTTCCTCTCTAAGTTCTGAGTCAATTTCTAAAATCCAGGCTCACCTTTTCAAGTACAGGTCTAATTTTCCCTTTTTTGGCGGGGGGAGAGGGGGAATAATTAAATTGTCCTTAGGGACCAAATAAAAGGAACTGTAGTATTACACACTGATATATATTTAAAGGACAAAGGACATTAACAGAAAGCATTTTTCACTCACACCTGAGCTTTGAAACAGATAATGGGTTAGACATCTTGATCCTTCTCTTTGTCTAGCTGGAGTGTTTGGGTCTTGGCTTTTCTCCCACTAGCTCTCAGTGGGTTTGTTCAAGTCAGGTCTCTGTATTATACCTGCTCATGCTGATCTTTCCCCCAGTATGGTAAGTATGGCTATGTTAAGGTGATCACGCTCTATGCCCCCACTACACTTTATGCCTGCTTCCTAGCTCTGGCTCTTCTAAATGTCCCACTCTCCCACTGTGGCATTTCAATCGTTTTTCCAGCAGCTTCTATCCCCTCCAGTTAGTTTCTTCATACAAGGTATCAGAGAGAAAGACTAGACAAAAACCCCTCTTCTCACCTAGAGACACAGCCATTCAATTCCTACAAGACCTCTCCTTTATTCTTCAAAGACAGAATTAAGCTCTTTAAGGAAAATCAATACATCTCCCATGACTGCCCAGCATAATGGATTGAAAAGATATTTGATGAACAGGGTTTATTAATGCTTACTCAACTCACTGATTTCCAGTTGAATGATACCTAACTTTTACCTAGGGGCTTGGAACAGCTGTGCTGGGGAATTAGTTTCCAGCCATGTGTCAAATAAGAATTCTTGTATGGAGAAAATTGAGCCGAACCTCTGGGAACCCCCATTCACTTGCTTGTACAGGTTGAACCTCTCTTAACCAGGACTCTCTGGTCTTCCGGATCAGGGATGATCCAGGGCAAGAGAGTTCCAGTGGAGGGCTGGTGGCCCTGCAGCAGGGCTGGAGCCCAGTAGTGAGGCTGCCCTGTGGCAGTGAAACTAGGTGGAAGCCTGGTGGCAAGAGGCAGCAGAGCTGCCTGGCAGGGCTAGAGCCCAGCAGCAAACCTGCTCAGCAAGACTGGCAGGCAGTGGGGTGGCCCGGTGATTGGGCTGGAAACCCGGCAGCAGGGCTGCCCGGTGGGGCAGAGGGACTGCCCAGTGAGGCTGAAATGCAAGTGGGGCTGCTGCCTGGCAGCATAACTGGACCCCAGTAGGAGCTGTGCTTGTGGTAGTGGGGCTGCTGCAGTGGGTCCAGGAGCCCTTCGCTGAGGGCCAGCAGCAAGAGACGTGGGGGATTTGGCAGAAATGACCTTCGCTGGTCCGGCAAAATCCCTCATCCAGGACCCGTCAGATCCCGAGGGTGCTGGACTGGGGAGGTCCAACCTGTATACCCAAATGTAATCTGTCTGCTCTATTGGGTTTGACCTAACCATCAGATCTGGAATCAGGATGTGAAGATGGTTCATACCATGAGTTCATGCCAAGGAGGGAACCAGCATAGATTAAGCCGATGCTGGGAATCTGAATGTTCTGCTTTGCAGGATGCACCTCATTGTGTTAGTGGAGGCAGAAGGTCTTGATTAAGGAATGGTCAAAATTGAAGAATACACTTGCTACCATCTAAAAGCTACAAATTTGTTGTGAGATTGAGGTCACAGGCCACTTTTTAAAAGTTCTTTTCAAACAATGTTTCTAGCAATCTCAGTTAATTCTAGAATTCCTAAATTATAGTAATGTAAAAATGCTATTCTGTATTCAGAATGGCCAGTAAATCTGTCCAAACCTGCTCAGTATCTGCCCGAAGCTAATGTATTCCACGGTTATCTCAGAAAAGTAAATATAAATTGCTCTGCTCAAATTAAACCAGAATGTATAATCTTTGTCATCAACTATTTATTTAACATTTTTACTGAATAATTAGTTTCCAGATTTTTTTACATGTACCAATGTTAAGCATACACAATGAAATACACATAAATATTAATATGATGT